GAGCACGGAACCACAATTCTTAGTTAAGGGAGCCACTTTAGGGTTGGCAAGAGACCTGACCCTAGAGGGGCTCCCAGGTGCCCAAGCCGAGGTCCCCAGTTAGTTCCTTGTGCAGTTGAGGATATGGAACCTGAAATGACCCTATCCTAGATCCATACTGACGAATATCTTGCATATCATCATAGAACCTTCATCTGGTGATGGATGGAGATAGAGACAGTGACCCACACTGGAGCACTGGACTGAGCTCCCAAGGTCCCAATGAGGAGCAGAAGGAGGGAGAACATGAGCAAAGAAGTCGGGACCACGAGGGATGCACCCACCCACTGAGACAGTGGAGCTGATCTATTGGGAGCTCACCAAGACCAGCTGGACTGTGACTGAAAAAGCATGGGATAAAACCGGACTCTCTGAACTTGGCGAACAATGAGGGCTGATGAGACGCAAAGGACAATGGCACGGGGTTTTGATCCTACGTAATGTGATGGCTTTGTGGGAGCCTAGCCAGTTTGGATGTTCACCTTCCTAGATATGGACGGAGGGGGGAGGTCCTAGGTCTTACCACAGGGCAGAAAACCCTGACTGCTCTTTGGACTGGAGAGGGAGGGGGAAAGGAGTGGGGGGAGGGGGAGAAGGGTGGGAGGAGGGGGCGTAGGGTGGGAGGAGGGGGAAGGAAATGGGAGGCTGGGAGGAGGCCGAAACTTGTTTTTTTTTTCTCCTTTTCTCAATAAAAAAAAAAATCGATCTACCTCAAGGTCCAGTTATACCACTCTTGTTCATATATCCAAAGGATACTTTATCCTACCACAGAGACACTTGCTCAACATTGTTTATTGCTACTCTATTTATAATACTAATAAATTGGAAACAAACTATATGTCCCTGAGCAGAAGAATGAATAAAAAATTTGGCACATTATACATTGTAGTAATACTCAGCCATTTCTTTAAAGAAAATAACATCATGATATATGAAGGAAAATGGATAGAACTAGAAAAAAATCATCTTGAGTGAGGAATGCCATACTCAGAAAGAGGAATATTGAATATATTCACTTATACATGTGAAGTCAATTATAACCAAGCTACAATCCATAGAACCAGAGATGGTAGGTATAGAGTAGGGACTAAGGGGTGGGGAGACAGAAAAATCTCTGTCTTTAAGTTACCCTCTGTCATTATAGCTGCCGAATAAGAGGAACTGAACTACTGTCTTTTCAAACCAGGAGAAAGGTGTGTTAGAGCCTGGGTCAGCAATCATTGGATACGGAAACAAAGTATTAAGTCTATGTTATAGGATTACTGTGGAAGAATATTAGTATACACTGTATGAACATGTATCACTGTGATTAGTTTAATAAAGAGTTGAATGGCTAACAGCTAAGCAGAAGAGAATAGGCAGGATTTCCAGGCAGAGAGAGGAACATGCAGGGGACACCAGTGAGACACTAAAGAATTCAGACTTCTGGTATGGAAGACAAGTAACTGAGCCACTTGGCAGAATGTAGATTAACAAAAACAAGTTAATTTAGGTATAAGAGTTAGTTGGGAAAAGCCTAAGCAAAAGACACACTTTCCTAATTAATTATAAACCTGTGTCATTATTTGTAAGTTGGCAGCACAAAGGAGAGTCTGACTACAGATTGCATAGAATTCTAATTTACTAAATGCTCAATTTCAATCTGGAGCATGTAGAACTGGGTATTGTTCAGAAGCTACAATTCTTTTTTTGAATAATTTTTATCGATTCTTTTGGAATTTCACATCATGCACCACAAGCCCTCTCATTTCTCAGTTCCTCCATATCTGCTCTTCATGCTTGTAGCATCACCCCCAAAGGAAAGCTTAAAGAGAAATAATAAAAAATTAAAAATACATGTAAGAATATTATTTTTTTAAAAAGCCAACAAAAAGATCCTCTAATTTTCCCACCACTCCGTTGCCTCTTCATTGGTCTTAGTGGCAACTGGATCTGCTGTGTATCATGCAGGATAGAGGGTACAATATGTAATATCATTTTCTTAGTTCAGGAAATGACACAATGAAAGACGTAAAAGTTCAGCTACAACAGAAATGATGAGTAGCCTCCGCACAATTTTCTTCCTTGTGTGTCAAACATGGCATTTACTAAATAGTATTTAGAGGAACTATTTGTGAATATTGCCTCATGAGCTCTCTTTGCACTAAACATAAACCTCATCCTTCTTGGCCAAATTTCAGCATGTTAGCATCAGACAAAAAAGTGAAAATGTTTGCTTTCACATGTTCCTTTGTCTCCTTCATAAAGTTCAGTCCATCCTTTCCCCACACCCAGTGCCTTCAGGCCTCTGCATTTTCAAGAGCTCATCTCTGGGGTGTTTATGACCAAATCTCTTGTTTCAGGGCAGGATAAAGTATCTACTTTGTAATGATCATCGCTGTTTGTACATCTGTGCTCCATTTCACACAGGAACAATCCCTGTCTCTTACATCTTCTGTTCTATCACCTTGAGCTCTTTCTGTCCAAGGGTGCTGAGTGTCCTTTCCTGATGAGAGGGGAGTTGTGCAGCACTGAACAAGAAAAGAACAATGTAAAGAAATAGAAATTTAAGTTACAAGTCAATAAAAACAAGAATGAAGTCAGTATAAAGAGAAATAAATATTAACAGAATTATATGCAAAAATAGATGATGTGGGGCTTGGGGTAAGGCAGAAGATTTTTGCCATCTCTATAACCCAGGCTATGTATCCTGGGAAGCCTGCAAACTCATGATCCTCTTACTCAGCTTTCTTCCTGTTTGAATTGCTAGACTATATGACCATACCTGGCGGAAGTGCAGTTCATCATGTTATAATACGAGGTAAGTCAAAAGAACCAAGGACAGTTGGAGAAGCTCATAGAAGCAGTAGAAGAATGATATCAGAAATATTCGTTACTGTCTCCTACCACCATCAAACCATCTTTAGAATTTGCACTGTGTGACTGGGCCATTCCTTGAAAATATATGGCCCTTTGCTTAGATATTATACACTGTATAATAAACGACTGCTTTTATCATGAGCATAAATGAGAACGAATACCTAACTTTCCATATTATAAGAGGTCAATACTCTAGTTTTCAATAAAAAAACATCGACTATAAATGAGCACACCTCAAAAATACAAACAAAATATTAAGAATAACTTGTTAATTTCATGAGAAGTATAATTGTTTTACCAAGTTTCTCTCATCATTGAACTGTAGTAGGCTCAGACTGAGCAACATTACATTGAATGTACAAACAAAACAAAAGGAGCCATCCCTGTAGAACAGAGACCTGGACAAAACTGTGAGTGTGAGCTGATTAGGGAGTTGTCCATCCTTCCTTTTCTCTCTTTCCTCACTTCTTTCCTTTATTCCTTTGTCTTTATTTCTTCTCCCCTCATCCTCCCTCCCTTGGTCCCTCACTCTTTTCCTCATTCTTCCCTTCCTTTCTCCCTCTCCTCCTTCCTGCCTATCCCCCTTTTTCCCTCCTTGTTATCCCTTCCGCTCACTCCTCCCCCTCAGTTCCTCAATCACTCACTCCCACTTTTTTCTCCTCCTCCTTTCCTCCCCTTCAATCTCTCCCCACTGACTTTCTCCCTCCTCATTTCCTTCCCCTTAATCTTTTCCCCTCACTTCCTCCCAATCTACCCTCCTCACTCCTTCTCCCTCCATTTCCCTTACACTTCCCCCTCATGCCCAATCAGTCTGCCCTCACTTCACCCCCTATTCTCTTTCCCCTCACTCCACCGCCCACTTCCCCTCACTTCCTCTCCTTTCTTTTTTCCTACCCTCCTTATCCAAGTGCTTATTGTTTTTTTTTCTTTTTCCTTATCATTACCTAAAGGTTTTTCATTTTCTTAGTTAATTAAAATATGTCATTCCACCCCCCTTAAACCTTGCTATGAAATCCATCCTTCTGTCTAGTTAAACAAGAGAAGGAAACAGGGGTCTGAGAAAGTGAAGAGATACTCACTTCTATATCTATCAAACTGTTTGTCCCTCTGTCTGTCTATCATGCGATTTTTCTGAGGAAGAATTCACGTTTCGATAATTATTTAATATCACAATGATAATGTGTAAGATACCTCTCTTTAATAATCTTGGATGTTTTAAAGGACTGTACAAAGGAATCTTTTACATGTATCTGAGATCGTTTACATAGATCTTTTCTTTACTTACAAAGTCCTATATTTCCTAAAGTATAATTTATGTTCAGCCTAAAGAATTTCCTTTCAGTCTTTCCATTTTAATTAATGGACGTACATGCTTACCACATAACTGTGAGGACCTGATTCACATCCCAAAAACGCACATAAAGTAAGATGCAGCGGCACCAGATGACTGCACTCAGAGTGATGCTGTAGCATGATGAGAGATGGAGACTGCAGAGTATCCAGAGGAGCCTGGGCAGGTGCTTTATGGAGTGAACAAGAGACCCTGTCTCAGATAAGACAGAAGGCAACAGCAATATGCAAGGTTGGTATCTTATCTTCACTCATATGCCAAAGCAAGGAGGTTGTCCTCAAAGAAGAGCAGGCAAAAATACACCTACCACCTAAGGCATCACACAAACTGAAACATAGATTTTTAAAAATTAAGAAAATAAGTCAAGAATTAATTATGTTACTTTTCTTTGAGTCTTTATTCTCCATTCCTCTTATATAATATTTTCATTGGCTGTGTACAATTTTGAATGATCAAGTTGTTCCTGAAATGACATACATTCTTTACACAACACATCCTTAATACACTTCCCTGCATCATACTTCAGAAAGATTAGAGGGTAAAGACTCAATGGAATAGCACGCAAGGCTCCTTTAAAACACACTTGCCATACTCTAGTAAATTTTGTGCTAACATCAAATCCCAGTGGGTGAAACAGGAGCAGGTGTCTCTTTCAGCTGATTTACATATTGAGCCATTAGACAGCAGCCCAGGCTCCTTTAAGAGCAGCTGCCAGGAGCCTAAGAAGCATTCTCTTTTCAAACACTCAGAGATGGAGTCAAAGGCACTCCTCCTATGGCTGCTGCTGTTCCTGGTACAAGGTGAGAAGGTGCAGAGCAGTGCTGGGTGCACCCACTGTAGCCATCATGGTTTTCCATGCCTCTAGTATCTTGATCTTTAGATTAAAGGCATTTGTGTGTTCCCCCATTTCTTTTTACTTTCTGGTTTCTCAAAGTGATGCCCACAAGTATTCTTAAAATTTTTAATGAAAAATTCCCTTGCTGGGAACGTTTCTAAACATGTATAACCATGGTCTGTGTGTTTATGATTCCAGGTTCCACTGGGGACATTGTGCTGACCCAGTCTCCAGGTTTGCTGCCTGTGTCTCTGGGACAAAAGGCCACCATCTCTTGCAAGTCTAGTGAAAGTGTAACTATAAGCAGTTATCATCTTATGCACTGGTATCAACAGAAACCAGGACAGCCCCCAAAACTCCTTATCTATGGTGCATCCAACGTAGAATCTGGGGTCCCTGCCAGGTTCAGTGGCAGTGGGTCTGGGACAGACTTCACCCTCACCATCAGTCCTGTGGAGGCTGATGATGCTGCAACCTATTACTGTCAGCAGAGTCGTAAGATTCCTCCCACAGTGCTCCAGAGTTGAACAAAAACCTCCTGGTGTTTCTGGTCAGTGAGGCTCAGTCTCTCAGCTGTCTCTTACTCTCTGACATCTCAATACACAGCTTTAGACTTGTTGGGGAAAAAATCTTAACCAATGAAACAAACTTTTATAAACTGATTTGATTGTTTATCCCATGCTATATACTTTATAATTCAATAATTTCCCAACAAAAATACAGACCTTCATGGTAGTTTATGTATTAGCAAATATTCATTTAAATTTTTGCTAACACATGTTTGCCTTTGAATGATTTTCCCTCTTTTTCCCCTATCTCCTATACCACATCTCTACCTACTCCATCCTACCCTCAGTGTTCCTTTGTAGACTTTCCTATCACTTAAGATATACTGTTTCCCAAAAGACACTTAAGGTCATGCTCAACTTCCTTAGCAATCAGGGAAATGCAAATCAAGACAACTTTAAGATACCATCTTACACCTGTCAGAATGGCTAAAATAAAAAACACCAATGATAACCTTTGCTGGAGAGGTTGCAGAGAAAGGGGTACACTCATCCATTTCTGTTGGGAATGCAATCTTTTGCAACCACTCTGGAAAGCAGTGTGGCGGTTTCTCAGGAAATTCGGGATCAACCTACCCCCAGGAAACAGCAATACCACTCTTGGGAATATACCCAAGAGATGCCCTATCATACAACAAAAGTATATGCTCTACTATGTTCATAGCAGCATTGCTTGTAATAGCCAGAACCTGGAAACAACCTAGATGCCCTCCAATGGAAGAATGGATGAAGAAAGTATGGAATATATACATATTAGAGTACTACCCAGCAGTAAAAAACAAGGACGTCTTGAATTTTGCATACAAATGGATGGAAATAGAAAACACTATCCTGAGTGAGGTAAGCCAGACCCAAAAAGAGGAACATGGAATATACTCACTCACATTTGGTTTCTAGCCATAAATAAAGAACATTGAGCCTATAATTCGCAATCCTAGTTGGAATAACCATTATGGAAAAGAGTATGTGAATGCATTGGAGCACCGGACTGAAATCCCAAGGTCCAAATCAGGAGCAGAAGGAGAGAGAGCACGAGCAAGGAACTCAGGACCGCGAGGGGTGCACCCACACACTGAGACAATGGGGATGTTCTATCGGGAACCCACAAAGGCCAGCTGGCCAGGGTCTGAAAAAGCATAGGATACAACCGGACTTTCTGAACATAGCGGACAATGAGGACTACTGAGAACTCAAGAACAATGGCAATGGTTTTTTTGATCCTACTGCACGTACTGGCTTTGGGGGAGCCTAGGCTGTTTGGATGCTCACCTTACTAGACCTGGATGGAGGTGGGTGGTCCTTGGACTTCCCACAGGTCAGGGAACCCTGATTGCTCTTCGAGCTGATGAGGGAGGGAGACTTGATCGGGGGAGGGGGAGGGAAATGGGAGGCGGTGGCGGGGAGGAGGCAGATATCTTTAATAAATAAATAAATAAATTTATAAAAAGATATACTGTTTCCTTTTTATGTGTTTGTAAAAGATAATAAATACAAATTACATAAACTGGAAAAAAAGTTAACCAAAGTCATTTAGTGTGTATGAGAGAGAGAGAGGACAGGGCGGGTGGGGGGGGGGAGAGAGAGAGAGAGAGAGAGAGAGAGAGGCCAGAGAATAATGTGCAAAAGTTGCTTCTGGGACTCAAACTCAGGTTCATCAGTCCCTGCTGCAATCACCTTTCCTGTTACCAGCTGAGCAATCCCGCCAGTTAAATCTACTATTAATTTCTTTAATGATTTATTTGAAATTGGGGAGGAGTTTAAGCATGAATGAGTTTCCATAGCAGTCAGAAGAGGGCATCAGATCCCAGGGAGCTAGAGTTTCAGGAGGTTATCAGTTAGTTGATGAGGGTGCTGGAAACCAAACTGCATGGTCAAAAAGTGCTTTTAACTGCTAAGCCATTTATTAACCTCTGATCTACCAATTTTTAGGTATTGATTTTTAGGATTATTAAATCCTTTGCCCTAGGACAATGGTAAAGATAATGGAAGCTTGTGGCCAATCATTTAAGCCAGAAACAGCTTTGAGTCGTTAATATTTCCAGCAAATCTTTCAGATGCAGTCACACATTCTCACCTAGTATTATTGTTCTTCTATTGCTTCTGTTTGTTTGCACTCACAAGCAGCCTGCTACAGTTACTTAGAAACATAAGACTGTGCTACAGTTATTTTTCTACTTCAGTTCCATTGTTTCTGCATCTGTGTCCAATCCCAAAATTAAGGCTTTAGTATAAGATATATTGATTGACCTTTAATACTCATCATTTTAACAACTTCTATACTTGTGGTCAAAGTCTTCCGGCCCTTTTCTTTTCTTTCCTTCTTCCTTTCTTCATCCTTTGTGTTACGGGAGGTCCTCCCACTCCTCCAGCCTATCGCCGCTGAGATACCAGCCCATTGGGGCATGGTCTCTCTCCCTTTAAAAAAGCGGCCACTTCCCTCTCCTCTCTCTCTTCACTTCCTGCTCCGCCAGTGACTAGACTCACTTCCTGGTTGCACAGAGGGCTGACAGTGATCTGTAAGTTTTTTCCCCTTTAAATAAATACCACCCTATTAAACATAATTCCAAACTGGTGTGGCATTGTTTATGACTTACGCCTTCCGTTGGCACCCAACGTTTGGTTTTAGAACCTCTCCTTTCCCTGCTCGGCTGCCAGCCGCGAGTTTGGCTTGGCGGGAGCCCTCCCTTCCTCAGCCGCCGCTGGCGGCCTTGGCCTCCCCACGTGGATTTAAACTCCACAGGCCCGCGTAGTCTCTGTCGCGTGGTTTGCTCTTTTCTGAGTCGTTTTTAAATCTCCCTTGCAAGCACAGCTCTTAAGTGGCACGAACCAGAGCACGCGGTTGCTGAAAGCTGCAACCCCTCAGGGTGACTCTGTCACGTGGAGGCATAAGCAGCTTCCAGGTTGCTCTTCTCTCTATGGCTGGATTCTGGGTTTCTGGTTCCCTCTCTGGAATTGATTTAATTACATTTACTTTGTTGAGCAACTTACATTTTCCAGTTTTTAACAAATACTAGGCAGACTCTGAAACAGGACTCTGTTTTCGTCACGACTTGGCAACAGCGCCACCTGCTGGATAATAGGTAATATGGCAGTTTTCGTTTCCAACGCAAATTTTACTGTTCTGATTGCCAATACAATGGGTTATTTCATGCAAGGTTTATATGACTATGGGGATAACTTAATTTACTGGTTACTAGGCTTCAGTATTCTTTTGAATATTCTATCATTTAGGAAGATCATGGCACTCCTAAGAACCATACAATCTTTACTAGAAACTCATGCAGGTCAGGAGATTCAGGATTCAAAAGAGACAATAATAAAGACAATAATAAAAAGACTTGAAATGATTGAAGAAATGATTGGAGCTGGTGAACAGAGTAATAAGGCACAAGGACAGGATACAATGCCAACAACAGCCATTAGAACTGGCTTACCAAAGGTTTTAGCGGCATACCCTATACTTAATTCTGACAAAGCGTCAACTTCTAAAGGCTCAAAGGGAGTCAGAGAAGCTAGATGGACGCCAATAGCAATGAATGATCTAAAAGAAATTAAGCAATCTATTGTTAATTTTGGCTTGCACTCTGCATATGTAAAGGAAATGATAAGGACTTGGGCTTCTAATGTTAGAGCTACCCCCCATGATTTCCATCAGTTAGTGTCTGCAGTTTTAGATAATGGACCTTCCTTGATGTTTGGAATTTATTTCAGAGAAGAATCCAAACATATGGAACAGCAAGGAAGAGCAAAAGGTGTCGAGGTTTCCCAAGATCAAATTCTTGGTGCAGGAGAATATGCTGATCCACAGGTCCAAGATCTTTATGATGATGAAGTACTGTGTCTATGTCACCAAGCAGCTTTAAATGCTTGGAATAGGATACAAGATCCAGCAAAAAGGGTTGAATCATTTACTAGAATTAAACAGGCACCGAGAGAACCCTTTATTGACTTTTTGCAAAGATTAATTAAGGCTCTGGACATAGGGGTAACAGACCCAGAAGCTAGACGAATACTTCTTGAATCTCTAGCTTTTGAGAATGCAAACATAGAATGAAAAAAGATAATTGGGCCTTTAAAGTCTAGATCAGCACCTATGGATGAATGGATTCAGCATACGATGAATGTTGAGACGTTTAGTTATAACGATGAACCTTGGGTAGGAGAAGTGATTTCCACAGCAATGAGGAGACATCAAACTGCCAGGTGTTTTAATTGTGGTAAATTAGGACATCTGAAAAGGGATTGCAGGCACAGAATTTCTAGGAATATTATCTCCTCTGGGAATGACAAAAATAGGAGACCTAGGCCTTCAGGTATATGTAGGAGATGCGGTAAAGGCCGACATTGGTCCAATGAATGCAGGTGAAAAACAGACAAACAAGGCAACCCGATACCATCGGGAAACTCCTTGAGGGGCCTCTTGCAGGCCCCCAAGCCAACAGTGGCCCAGTCATTCCCAGTCACAGTGGAGAACGTGACTCAACAAGAAAATTAAAAGCTCCAATTTCTGCTGTAAAAAGTAATACTGGTCTAAATGATGAAATACATGTGGAGGATGAGTCAAAAAAACCCAGTAGGACAGAGTAAACATGTATTTTGGCAGACTTCTATTAATGATCAAAGACCAAAGCTAAGAGTCTGTATAAATGGCACTTTTATTGAAGGCTTATTAGACACAGGTGCGGATGTAAGTATTATTACCCCAGAATCTTGGCATCCGAATTGGCCTCTTCAAGAGGTAGATGTTCAGTTCCTGGGAATTGGAACCCTATCTCGTGTAAAACAAAGCACAAGATGGGTTGAATGCATAGGGCCCGAAGGGCAAATAGGAAGACTAAGGCCATATATAGCCAATATTGCCATCAATTTATGGGGCCGTAACCTGCTACAGCAATGGAATACCCAGGTTAACATTCCTGTAGTTCCAGGAACTCATAATTCTGGGAAGGATATGATGAGGTATTATGGAAAAAGGTCATCAGCCATTCAGGCTGTACAAGAACATACAGCAAATACCAAACCTTTAGAGGTACCAACAGCCCTACCTTTAAAATGGCTAACTGAGAAGCCAATATGGATCAAACAGTGGCCTCTAGCTGAAGATAAACTACAGGCATTGGAACAGCTGGTGCAAGAGCAACTAGATGCTCACCATATTGAAGAATCAACCAGCCCTTGGAATTCTCCTGTGTTTGTTGTAAAAAAGAAATCTGGTAAATGGAGAATGGTGACAGATCTAAGAGCTGTCAACAAAGTAATTCAACCTATGGGCCCACTACAATCTGGAATTCCTTTGCCTTCTCTGTTACTGAAAGGATGGCCTCTTATAGTTATTGATTTGAAAGATTGTTTTTTCACTATACCGTTACAAGAAAAGGATAGAGAAAAATTTGCCTTCACAGTGCCTACTAATAATAATTCTCAGCCTAATAGGAGATATCAATGGACTGTCCTCCCACAGGGTATGCTCAATAGTCCTACACTGTGCCAATATTTTGTAAGTAAGCCATTGGAAATAATTCGTAAACAATTCCCCAAGTCCATAATTTATCATTACATGGATGACATCTTGTTATCTGATTCAAATAAAGATACTTTAGAAATGATGTTTGAAGAAGTAAAGAAAGTCTTGCCTAGGTGGGGATTACAAATTGCCCCTGAAAAGATTCAAAGAGGAAATTCTATTAATTACCTAGGTTACAGAATAGGGTTAGAGAAAATTAAAACGCAAAAGGCACAAATTAGGAGAGACCGCGTAAAGACTCTTAATGACTTCCAAAGATTGTTAGGAGACATTTCCAGTCTACGACCAGCTGTTGGGATAACACCTGATCTAATAGTTCATTTAAACAAAACCTTAGATGGTGATAAAGATTTGAATAGTCCAAGAAAACTGACAGCTGAAGCAGAAAAGGAACTGACAATGATTGAGGAAAAATTACAAGAGGCACATGTGGATAGGGTGAACCCAAATCTTAGCTGCATCCTAGTCATATTGCCTTCCAGAATTTCTCCTACACGGATTCTAATGCAGAGGGAAGATATTGTTTTAGAGTGGATATTTATACCTAATAAACCAAGTAAAAAATTAAAAACTTATGTGGAAAAAGTCTCTGAATTAATTATAAAAGGTAAGCTGAGACTTCGTCAACTAGCAGGTACAGACCCAGCAGAAATTATAGTGCCTTTTACTACTGAAGAAATAAAAAAGTTATGGGAAGATAATGAACCGTGGCAAAGAGCTTGTGCTAATTTTTTGGGAGAAATTAATAGCAACTATCCCAAAAGTGGTAGACTTAACCTCATAAAAAGAACTTCTTGGATTCTTCCTAGAATTGTACGTGATGCTCCAATAACTGGAGCCCGTACGTTCTATACTGATGCAAATAAATCAGGGAAAGCAGGTTACAAGTCAGATGAATTGAGTAAGGTGGAACAAAGCCCTTATAATTCTGTCCAGAAGGCAGAATTATATGCCATTCTTATGGTGCGAAGGGATTTTAAAGAACCTCTTAATATAGTTACAGATTCACAATATGCAGAAAGAGTTATCTTGCATATTGAAACCGCTGAATTTATACCAGATGACACAGAGTTGACTTCATTGTTTATCCAGGTACAAGACATAATCAGGAACAGGCTTTGTCCGATGTACATAACACACATCCGGTCCCATACAGGTCTGCCTGGTCCTCTAGCCCAAGGCAACGCTGAGATTGATCAATTATTGATTGGAAGTGTGTTGCAGGCCTCAGAATTTCATAAGAAGCATCATGTCAATAGTAAAGGCCTAAAGAAAGAATTTTCCATTACTTGGCAACAAGCTAAGGACATTATAAAGAGATGTCCTACTTGTTCTTTCTATAATCAAACACCGTTGCCTGCAGGGAATAACCCAAAGGGTACTAAGAGAAATGAAATCTGGCAGATGGATGTGTTCCACTTTATGGAATTTGGTAAATTAAAATATGTACACCACACCATAGACACGTATTCAGGTTTTCAATGGGCTACTTCCCTGAGCTCAGAAAAGGCTGATTCAGTAATCACACATTTATTGGAAGTTATGGCCATCATGGGTATACCTGCGCAAATAAAGACAGATAATGGTCCAGCATATGTATCTAAGAAAATGAAATGCTTTTTTGATTATTATAATATAAAACACATTACAGGTATACCAAATAATCCTACAGGTCAGGCAGTTATAGAAAGATCAAATCGTACTATAAAGTATATGCTGAACAAACAGAAAGGGACCGAAAATACCCCCAGGAATAGATTA